TCCTGTCTGTCCTCCCAGCCTGGTAGCACCGTGAAATAGGGGGGGTCCTGCAGCCAAGGGAAAAGGCAAGGAGCATCAATCCGTGCCAACGCCTCCCCACTACCCAACCCAGCCCTTTTCCAAAATAAACGAGCCGTAGGTTCCAGTAAGGCTGAGGCGTTGTAAGGAAAGCTGCAGCAGGGAGCGTGCACTAAGGACACTCCACGGTACACCAAATTATACACCCCAAGGGAAGCTTTCTCCGAAGAGCCACCGCACCAGGGCATCTTGTTTAAGTCTCAAGAAGGTAAACAGGAAAAAAAACCACCCACGTCGCATCAGACATCAGCCCGATGCCATCGACTCCGCAGCCATCTCCGCGGATGTGTGCGTCTACGACACACAAAGCGCTACCACGTGAACCTCAGCGAGGCACCATGAATCACCGCCGCGCACAGGCACAGGGCTTTTTGTTCAGGGAGGGGAGAGGCAGCAGCTCCCGCCCCAGCCTGACGGGAACTGCACTGGGAGCCCAGCGCACACCGGGCTCCGCATGCAGCAAGAGCCTGCGGAGCGTCTCTAGAGCTCAAACCATCTGTTTATTAAAATCCTCCAGGAACCCAAGCCTGGGTCAGCAAGGTGAAGTATTCTATTGGCAAAAAGGCCATCCCAGGGACACGTTTCCTCAAAACACTCTGGTTCAGCGCTACGGAAACCTTCTACTCATCACACACCAGCTGCGGCCCAGCCCATGGTGAAAGACACATGCCGCCGCTCCGGCGGGGTATTTCCAGCTGCACCGGGCAGGGTGCACGCCGGTTTCCTTGTCCTGGTGGGAGGCACACCTCTGACCACAGCACAGACACACCTCCGCGCTCCAGCCTCTGCTCTTCCCCTCGCGAGGATGCTCGTGAGGGCCCGCATTCGCCTTTCTCAGCACAGGGCAGAGAGGAGAGGCTCGGAGCGAGAGGCGATAGGTTTTTGCTAAGCTGAGTCATGTAGGTGGGAAAGCAGACAAGTTTGGGGGCACAGAGTCCTTCCCGAGCTCTCGTCATAGAGAAGCACTCGGAAAAGCAAAGGAAAACCTGCGTTTCTGCAAAGAATTAACAACCAAATAAGCTGCACAGAAAAAAACCCAAACCACTTCGCCCACCCCTGCAGCGCTGTGCTGAACAGGAAGGCAGAACGAGCAACGCGCGCATCGCAGAACCCACGTTAAAAATCCTGACCGCAGTGCGGATACCTCCGCAAAGCACGCACGCGTTCACGCCTGGCCCATCCCGCACCACCCCAGGAGCTCCTCTCGGCAGGACAGGACACGACCCACGGCAAATCTGCCAGCAAGGGTTTTACCAGGCGAGTTACCTTCAGTACCAGTCGGGCAGGGGGAGACTGGCCCATCGTACCCAGGGCGTTATAAGGCACACAGGTGTAAGTGCCGAGAGCATCTTCGGTTGCCTCCTCTATCCGGATCGACCCGTCTTCCAGCAGGTTCCAGCCAGCATACTGCAGCGGTGAGAAAGAGGGAGCTGACGTCTCCTACACCCACCACAGTTTACTATTTGCCCTTTGGCCAAGCCCCCACCTAAGCCCAAGGCGGCTGACGTGTCCCTGGGAGATGCCCCATCCCATTCCCAGCACCCAAGCCATCTCCTCAACTGCAGAGAGAGGAAAGGTGGGCAAGATCAGGCTGTCCAAACGCAGCCCTGCTCCGCACGCACCCAAGGACACGGCGGTTTATCTTGCAGTTGCCCCCCTCCACACACAGCCAGGCTTCTTCAAGTACCTCAAAAGATTTAACATCAGAATCTATCACACCCTACACAAAACTCGTCCTGGTGGCACCAAGGAGACAACCCGACCCGAGGGGCGGAGGGCACCAAGGACCAGGAACCCACAGCAGCAACAGGTTGAAATAGAATTAAAAATCTGGATCATTAATATTTAAGCAAAAAAATTAAAATACAGAGCGTTTTCTTCAGCTATTTAATGGCTAACATGTTTGCTAAGACTATCAAATCGTGACTATAGGAAGACAGAGACTTCTCAAAAGGGTCTTTTAACCATCACATGCCATTGTTAAAAAAACCCCCAGGGCCATCAGGAGGTCACCTCAGAGGGAAGCAGGCACTGGGTCTGGGAGACGTAGACAGCATGTCTACAGGCGCCCTGGGCTCCACGCAAGAACCCGAATTAACTCTGCCCACAGCTGATAAGGAAAAGCAGCGTCATCCCACCCACGGGGCTGCCAACAGCCGGCTGGACCCGCAGGGCACCCGGCGACGCTCACCGCCATTCGCAGAGCACGCGAGGGTCCGAATCACAGAATCACAGAATAGTAGGGGTTGGAAGGCGCCTCTGTGGGTCATCTAGTCCAACCCTTCTGCTGAAGCAGGGTCACCTACAGCAGGCTGCACAGGACCCCCTGCCGACTCAGGGTCACCTACAGTAGGCTGCACAGGATCTTGTCCAGGCGGGTCTTGAATATCTCCAGAGAAGGAGACTCCACAACCTCCCTGGGCAGCCTGAGCCAGGGCTCCGTCACCCTCAGAGGGAAGAAGTTCTTCCTCCTGTTCAGACGGAACTTCCTGTGCCTCAGTTTGTGCCCATTGCCCCTTGTCCTGTCACTGGGCACCACTGAAAAGAGCTTGGCCCCATCCTCCTGACACCCACCCTTCAGATATTTGTAGGCATTTCCCTCCACCTCCCCACGTCTGCCCCGGGGGCTTCCTTACCTTCTCGATTCTCAGGGGACGTCCGTCTTTGTTCCACTTCACCAGCGTGACCGGGGGCTCTGCCTCGACCGGGCAGCGGATGTATCCGTGTATCCCGATGGGAACGTAGATGACGGGGGGCATGTTCACCACGCGGGCAGGATCTGGGAGAGCAGCACCACCACCACGTTAGCACGGGGAAGGAGCCCATCCCTCCCCCGCCACCTGGCTTCAGATCATCTCCATCGATTTTATAACAAATTCCAAACCCGAACACCAGCCCGGCTCCCACAGGCTGTTATCTCCAGGCTTGCTACGCACAAATCCGCTTTAATACCTGCATTTCTGGGAGGCTGTGCTCATGCACGGGATGTTCCTACCCGGGGCTCATTAAAAGCTGCCTTTAAAAAGAAACATTAGATATGCCTGCTCCCACATCCACTTGCGTCCCCTTCACCTCCTATCTGTTTGTACTCGCAGCTCGCGCCTCGGCGAGGCTGGGTCGCGTCGAGCATCAGCCACCTCCACCCTTTCCAACGGGCTGCAAAAGCTTAAAATATGCACCTACCCCCGCCCCGCGCCGCACCACCCACGCAGCGAGGCGTCTCGCAGTCCTCCAGTCTAGAATGTGTCATTAACAGCGCTTCGAAGAGCTTTTTAATTAAGCGCGAGTGGGTTGGAGAGAACCTAGACTTCCTTTAATAAGAAGCTTTTTTTAAAAAAAGTTACTTTTAATACGAGGAGCGAGTATTTCCACAATCTCGTCTAGACACCGGCAGCGCGAGGTTACGGGAACATCCCGCCGGGGCTTACGATGCGTGAAGGGATGAAGGCACTTTTTGGGGTGCAGCATCCCTGCGTTGCCGACGCAAAAACCACAACGCTGGGGGTAAAGGTAAGGTGCTTCGGACGCAGGGATGGAGGACGCAGGGGTCCTCCCTCCTTATTGCCTTCCTGGGGCAATAGCTACCAAGCTGGGAGCTCTGCTCCCTCCCTGCCAGAACACACAACCCCAACTGCTCCCCGAAACTGTGCGCCCTGAGCGACGGCACCATAACCCAGGCTCTACCCCCTCTGCTTAGCTCCACCTCTTCGGAAACGCAATCCAGGGCTCCGGCGGCGTGGGAGAGGGTAATGGGATCAAGCCTTTCACTACTAGGTCACTGGCCGGGGGCCAGCCCGGCTCACCCGTGACCCAGTGCCGCGTCCCCGTCCGACGGCCGCGTCGGTGGGGGGGAAGCCTCCCTCCCCAGGCACCAGCCCTGGCACAGACGACAAGGTTCGCTCTGGAGGAAAGGGGTTGGCAGCACGAAAC